CCATAGACGTTTTCCAGCGCTGGAGGAAAAGGCGTCATGAAAACGACTTATACGTTTTTAACCCTTTTGTGAGATCAAGAACATTTTTAACGGGAATTCGAGTCCACATTGCAGAAGCACCAGGATTACAATGATTTAGAGCTTAAAGTGGACCATCACTCAACAGTCAAAGTGCCACTAATCCTTCTTCCCATCTCCTCCCCTAACACTTTTGAGGATTTTTTTTTTTACAGGCAGTGGGTATCTTTTTTGACAAGTACCCCCTCCCCCTTCCTTATATGGTGCCTAGGCCAGAGTGAAGTCGCTCGGGCACCTTTTTGACAGAAACTCACGTCAAATTCATCTAGAAACATGCAAACACAGGAAAGTGACAGCTGGAAAAAGACCAAGTGGCCATCAAGTCTGCCTTATTCTTTTTTTTTTTTTTTCTATGTTTAGCTCTACGTTTGTCCCAAGCATGTTTAAATCCACTAATGGGGGCCATATACTAGATGAAAAATCCTTTGAAAATATGTTATTTGGACAGTTCTTCTGTTTTTCATCCAGTTAATGGGTACAAATTAAAAATCAGTAGTGACATTTTTGAGCCAAAAAATAGAAGGAAAAGTTTGGAAAACTTTTGCCAAATGGACAATAAATTGAAAGGTAGATGTGTTTTTCGCCCGTTAAAAATCGAACTGTTGGTACTGCACATATGTGACCCAGAAGAAAAAAAAAAACAGATGAAAAACTGAGTCATTTATGTCCATTGAATGATTTATTGTTCAAAATTTGGTCATTACATGATGACAATATAGTTTGCTCTCATGACCACATGTTCATTTTTCTAAAATCCCTTTGAGCGATTTTTCGACTAGTGTATGGCTAGCATTACTGTTGACTGACTCACTACCTCTGCTTGAAGTTTATTCCAAGTATCAACTACCCTTTTGGTAAAATAATACTTTTTAAGATGAGTTTTGAGCTTTCTTCCTGCTTCTTTGAAGTCATGTCTCTGTGTTCTTGATCTTGGCTTAATAATGCCCTACTGAGCCTTAGGCGAGAATGACATCATTCGTCGACTCCCCTTCCTGCCCTCAGGGCCCTGGGGCACATTACAAGTCCCAGAAGGTGGAAGGACCAGTCTCACTGCACCATGCTATCTTGCGCATGCACAGTGGGGAGCCGGCTGTCTTTCCTCAGGAATTCACAGCTGGCTCCCAAATCCAAGATGGCAGCGCCAGAGACCCGTAGATGTGAAAAGACCTGGGTGTGGGAAGACAACGCTGGGCTCAAGGCACTGGTAAGTACCGGATTTTTAAAAATCATCAGCTACTGTGTTTGTAGCTGCTGACTTAAATTATTTTTAGATGAGGATGAAGTTCCTCTTTAACCACTTTAATACCGGGCACTTTCACCTCCTTCCTGCCCAGGCTTTCAGCTTTCAGCGCTCTCACACTTTGAATGACAATTGCTTTAAAAAAAGGCCTGGATTCTTTCCTAGATACACAGAATATAATGCTGTCAATGACAGTCAGTGAGCCAATGAGAAGAGAGAGAGGGCGGGGCTGAATCGCAGTTCCATGGTGAATGGACACATGGAGCAGCGGGTGCCCCCATAGCAAGGTGCTAGCTATGGGGGCACCAACAGGAGGGATCAATATATTATTTATTATTATACAGGATTTATATAGTGCCAACAGTTTGCACAGCGCTTTACAATATAAAAGGAGACATTACAGTTACAATACAATTTGGTACAAGAGGACACAGAAGGCCCCGATCGTTAGAGTTTACAATCTAAGAATCACTTTAGATGAATAAAGCAGCCACCAGCACAAGGCACAGACCTCATTCAATCTAAGTACTGTCTCTTGAGCTTATTTAAAACAAAAAAAAAACTAAGCTTAAGCTTTAAAGTGGACATTGCACCGTCATAATAAGGTCGTTTATTCAAGATGCACCCCTCCCTAAAACACTGAATGAAATTGCAAAACAAAAATATGGGGTGAAAAAGTTAGATCTACATACCTTTTCTTGACCTTTAGTGGCGCCTAGATGAGGGTGACATCATCCTCATTCTGGCCAGATCCTGGAAAATGGAATATATATCCCATTACTTTTTAATAAGAATTATTTGTGATCTTCACATTCTCCTGAAGAAGTGGGAAACTGCAAAACATGAAGAGCACAAATACAAGGACCGTGGAACTCCTCTGCTGGTTTTCATCTTGGATATCTACTATAAGGATTGATCTTGTATTGTACATAGGGGGAGTTCTTCTTTCCATAATCATGTAAAGAAAAAAAGAGTGCTGGTTTTTTATCATTGGTATTCAATAAGATTTGCATGTTTTAAGTTTGCTTTCCCTGGTGTGTTTATATGGTCCATAACTACATTATACACTGTATATCTTGTTTAAATACTAGGATGTGGTGTCCCTATTTTGTAAAATATTGGGTCTCAATACTGACACCCAGCAGTGAACTGTTGCATGTTTTGGTTAGATTCTGGAAAATGTTATATATAGCCCTAATCTTGCAAAAAGGTGATACTACACTGTGCTTCCGCATCTTCACCAATATTTTGTGATCCTGCCATAAATGCCCTTGTTCAGGTACTTCCTTTTATAGGATGACAACGTTTTGTCCCTATCTCCTGGTTGTGCTATTGTGTTGTCACCATGTCAAACAGGCTTCAAGTGACTGATTCTCTGCACATTACACAAACATGGTCCACTATTGTCACCATCAGGAAACTCACCTTAAGAAATGCCATGATGCCATCTCTGGACTGTACAGTAAGGGGGTATTTACTAAAACTGGAGAGTGCAAAATCTGGTGCAGATCTGCATAGAAACCAAACCGCTTCCAGGTTTTATTTTCAAAGCTTAACTGAACAAGCTGACTTTAGACTCTGATTGGCTACTATGCACAGCTGCACCAGATTTTGCACTCTCCAGTTTAGTAAATCCCCTAAGTAACTCCAAAAAGGCTTCAGAAGATCAGCAGCACTCAGATTAAACAAAGCATGATAGAAAGGTGAAAACATTTTATTTAACCCCCTGGCGCCGGTGCCTCCTGGCCCTTTAAGGGGTTTCAGATGCCGGGAGGTGAGATGGGGTTTCTGATCATGTGGTCTCCATGATTGGCTGTCACAGCGGTCACATGAGTAGAGATCAGGAGCTTTCCATTAGCCACCGGTAGCTGCACCAGGAGTGCGCATGGAGCGTGCTCTTGGCACAGTTCTGTTTATCTTTAGGTATGCATATATGTGGCCTCTCTCCGCTAAGGCCCACCCACCGAGAGGCCATATATGTGTATGGCCGGAGGGAAGAAGTTAAAGGCAATTGTTTATATGCTTTAGCAAAATAAATGATCATTTAGTTGGAATTTCTATCATTTTTAACTGAATGGAGTAAGTTATATTAAGTGGATGACATACAAAAATTCCCGTTTGTTATTGTGTAGAGTTTTGAGGACCCACGTGGTCAACTATATCTTAATCCCCTCTGTTCTGGAACAGTGATATAATCTGAACCTATAAAAAGACAATTCTGATGATCTATTATAGGTCTACTACAGATTACAGAGCAGTAACTGGCAGAAATGATTCTCCGGAGGAAGGTCGGTATTTCAAGAGGTGGAGCTCAAGTTACCCTCCCACCTCAATGTAATAGAAAGAGTAAATAGATAGAGTATAGCACTTCCCCCTTAAGGGTCGCTGCATTGCTTTTAGGCCCCCTGTCACTCTTGACCAAACTCTGAAAGTTCAACCCCTGCTGATACCACCTTACACGTCTGGCCAAGATAGACTCTCTGATTTCTTCCAGAAATAGACTCACACACAAGTCAGAGTGTAAAGCAGCATAAAGTAATAGGTATGCAAATAATAACAGTTAGCACTCTTAGTAGCTTTAAGCAAAAGTCAACAAACACAGCAAAAATCTCAATTAGTTCTGGACATCCTGCAATTCAGATCCACAGCTCTGAGATGTTACTGTCCCCAGTAAGTAATGGAAAAGAAAATACAAAAGAGTAAGGCTCGCTCACTTTGGGCCCTCAGAAGCTGATGGCAAAGTTCAAGTCTGAGGCAAAGAAAGAGCTGTTTAATCAATGAGGTTAATGTCCACTTACCGGAAAGAAAAATCTTCTGCATGCTTGTTGGGGCCCAGGCCCAAGTTGGTGCACTGCAAGAATTCAGATCTCCTTGGATGAAAGTAGGTGGAAGTCCCTCAAAGGATTAATGCAAAAACAGGCACTACCACTTTAAGCGATATTCAACTTGGCCAGTACCCCAAAAGATGAGATGCAGGTTTTAAACAAGAGGTTTAAGGGATGGGCAGAAGCACTTGTTTGTAAGGGTCAATCATTCTCTAGGCCACAGTAGCAAATGGCAATAATGAAAAGCGTCCCTTGATAAATGTATGCTAATTGCAAGATAAGCAGTGGTGTGGCTTGGCCTGCAGAGGACAGACAGTGCAGTTGGCTCTGATGGATTATGCCAAAGATGTGTTTGCCAATAGGCCCAAGTGATCTGGGCCTCAACAGGTTCAACCACTTGCCCTCCTGAGGATTTACCCCGCTTCCTGACTAGGCCATTTTTTGCGTTATGGAGCTGCGTTACTTTAATGGACAATTGCGCAGCCATGCAATGCTGCACCTAAATGAAATTTACATCCTTTTTTTCCAATGACTAGAGCTTTCTTTTGGTGGTATTTGATCACCTGTGCTTTTTTTATGTTTGTGCGCTATATATAAAAAAACCCCGACAATTTTGAGAAAAAAACAATATTTTTTTACTTTTTGCTATTAAACATGTACAGTAAAAAAATGAAAAAAATCAAATTTTGTCATAAATTTATGCTAAAATACATTCTGCTACATCTTTGCTAAAAAAATTCCCAATACGTGTAAACTAACTGGTTTGTCTGAAAGTTATAGCATTTACACATGGCAGTATATATACAAGGTGTTCTTCTTTTTTCATTTTTACTAGTAATGGCGGTGATCAGCGACTTATAGCGGGACTGCGGCAGACATTCTGACACTGGGGGGAACTGACTTGGTATCACTGACATCCCCAGTGACACCAATACAGTGATCAGTACTAAAAAAAAGTACTGACACTGTACTAATGACACTGGGCATGAAGGGGTTAACATGAGGGGCGATCAAGGAGTTAATTGTGTGCTGGGAGTGTTTTACTAGGGGGCGGAATGTGTGTGATTCACTGCAATCACACTGCTGTGGATGGCTGTGGTGTGCTGACAGGGAGGGGGACTGTTAGTAGACAAAACAGTCCTCCTCCCTGTCGGAGATCCTCGGAAATAACTGGGCGCCGGTGAGCAATTACTGGCCGGGGCCCAGTGATTGACAGCCGCAGCCTACCCGGAAATGCAAAATCACATATATATATATTGTGCGTGTGTGTGTGATTTTGCGCACCGTTGCTGCCCTGTAGCAGTATTTCTGCTATAGGGTGGTCGTCAAGCAGATAACTTGTGAACAATATCTGTAACTAGATAGAGAATAGCTGATTTGAGAAAACGTCAGTGTCAACCTAATTGGCTGGAGAATGGAACTCTCTCACCTGATTTGGTGCATATTTCAGGTCCCAGGCGGTCTCTCTGTAGATAGATGCCCCCATTGGTCCTTTGGGCCCTCCTGCAGAGTCCGTTCCTGACAGCAGCACTCTGGGTCACCAGCTGACAGGGTAGTTCCCTAGACTTGCTGGTGATGACAGCAGTCTGCTATTCCTCCATTTTTCTCCATTCTCGAACTCTGCGACCTGATCTGTTCCTTTGGTGTTCTGCACAGCCTTCTCTTCACACCTTCCTCCCAACTCCTCCAACATGGGGTTCCCAGGCTTCTGTATATATCTGCCTACGCCCACATGCCAGCTCCTTTGGGAAATGTAGTCTCGTAATTCGCTGTCTCCCAGCAAGGTCCTGCGGTTCAGCCTACAAAATCCACAAAGCTTTTCACCAGAGTCTGTGTGCCACTGAGCTGCAGGACACTGCCAACTTGTGTCTCTTTTATTATCCTGCCATCTGAGTTATAGCAGGGTGTTACAAGTGATAACCAGAATACATTTTCACTGCTCTGCTTGAAGGGAGAGAAGTGATGACTGATAAACACTTTGCTGGAGGTTGTATTGCTTGAAGACAGCGGGGTCAGGGATTGTCACCCAGAAGTCAAGCTTTGCATTTTTTAAGGAAAACAACATATTCCCTTTAACATAAAGGTAGACAATCCTGGAGCGGTGTTGATCTACCTGTATAATATAGAAGAGATCAAAGTTCACCAGGGGCAGTGCAACTTTTTTTAAAGGAAACTTAGCAGGGCCCCATTAAAGAATGTTTACAGAGTTTAGTTTAGAGGGTCAGTTGTAGATAACACAGCGGTCAGGGGTCATTAGTACATAATGCACAGTGAATGGGGTCAGTAGTATATAATGCAGAGGTCAGTAGTATGTTTGGCAGAATGCAGAGGTCAGGGCTAAGTAACACAGAGTGCAGAGGTCAGCAATAAATAATGTACAGTGCTCTGTTCAGGAGTAAGTAAAGCACAGTATGTGACGGAGGTGTGGGCGGGACAGAACACACACGGAGAGCAGTGGGCACACAAGGTTTTTTTATTGAGAGATGTGGGACACTTGATCGGGGCAACAAGGATAACGTCCAGGGTACACAACAGAGGGAAAGTTCCGGCAAAGATCATCCGGGCCCATGGAAAGGGGCAATTCAGGCCAAGGCAGTCCGGGCACACAATAGGGGGGCAGTTCAGGCCAGGGTAGTTCGGGCACAGAATTAGGGGCAAGTCAGGCAAAAATAGTCCAGGCACACAGCAGGGGCAGTTCAGGCCAAGGTAGTCCGGGCAAACAATAGGGGGCAAGTCAGGCAAAAATAGTCCGGGCACACAGTAGGGGCAGTTCAGGCAAAGATAGTTCGGGCACACGATAGGGGCAGTTCAGGCAACGATAATCTGGGCACCCAGTAGGGGACTTCAGGGGCACTCCGCAACATGCGGTTTGTAGGAACACTCATGGGAGACGGCTTCTAGGGACACTCAGCAGTGGGCAGCTTCCAGGGACACTCACAGCAGGCAGCGTGCAGGGGCCCTCAGCGGCGGCTTCCAGGGGCACCCAGCAGCAGACAGCGTGCAGGGACACTCAGCAGCAGCTCCCAGGGGCACTCAGCAGCTTCCAGGGACACTCAGCAGCATGCGGGGTCACTCAGCAGCAGCTTCCAGGGACACTCAGCAGCAGACAGCGTGCAGGGACACTCAGCAGACAGACAGCGTGCAGGGACACTCAGCCGCAGACAGCGTGCAGGGACACTCAGCAGCAGACAGCGTGCAGGGACACTTCAGCAGCAGACAGCGTGCAGGGACACTCAGCCACGGACAGCTTTCAGGGACGACACTCAGGGACCGCGGACAGCTTCCAGGGACACACTCAGCAGCGGTCAGGGGCCAGGGACGCTTCCCAGGGGCGGTCAGCTTCCAGGGACGCTCCAACAGCGGTCAGCTTCCAGGGGCGCTCAGGGCCTCAGCGGTCAGCTTCCAGGGACGCTCCCAGCGGTCAGCTTCCAGGGACGCTCCCAGCAAGTCAGACCCCTCACAGCACTCTGCCCCAAGCAGGGGACAAACTACCTCCTCGGGTCCTGCTCTGGTTTCTTTATCGCCAAGACAGGATGCTTCCTGGTTCCCCGGCAACAGCCAGCTCGGCGTCGGGTTTCCCGGGCAACAAGCCCCGCCCCCGCACTCCAGCCACGCACAGGGAGCGCGGCCTTTGTCTCCGGCAAGCGCAGAGCACGGAACCTCGGGGCCACGCTGTGCCGCCGAGACAAGGGAAGAGGGGAGCGCAGAGACACCCAGGTGGCCAGCACATGGAAAATCCACATGCAGACACAGCGGGGTGTCAGACTCCTCAGTGTCCGGCCCAGGGGAGGTGCGAACCGCACCGCAGGGGGCAGATCCCTGACATCCAGCACACCACTTTGATGTGGGCTTGTGCTGGCGCAGGGACATGTAATGAGCAGGGGAGGGGGGAGCGAGGGAGTGAGAGGGGGGGGACCGTGACACAGTACAAGGAGTCAGGAGTATGTAGTGTAGAGTTCAGAGGTCAGTAGTAAGTAATGCACAGTCCAAGGGGTCAGGAGTATGTAATGTAGAGTTCAGAAGTCAGTAGTAAGTAATGCAGAGTGCAGGGGTCAAAAGTAATGCAGAGTGCAGTGGTAAGTAGTATATAATGGAGAACGCAAGGGTCAGGAGTAGGTAGCACAGAGTTCAGAAGTCCATAGTATGTAACGCAGAGTACAGGCTCAGGAGCAAGTAACACATACTGCTAGGTCAGGAGGTCTGGAGTAAGTAATGCAGAGTGCAGGAGTCAGTAGTAGTGCACAGTGAAGGGGTCAGGAGCAAGTAATGCAGGGGTCGGTTATATGTAACAGAGAATTTAGAGGTAAGGAGTAAGCAAAGTAGGGTACAGGGGTCAGAAGTAGGTAACATAGAGTGCATCATAGTCATGTGACAGTCTAGAACCTTCTGTGGTACACATTGATCCAGCTTCTCTTTCCATTAATACATGAGGGCCCTTGGTGATGTTTTAACAGGAATGTCTCAGTCTTACTTGAGAGAAAAGCAGGTGAAGGCATTGTCATAGGAAGCACTGTGAACCCTAAGGGAAGTGAAAAATTGCAGTAAATGATATACTTAAGGTGTATTTAAAACAAAATTGCAAAGCTGTTCATTCATAGAAATTGCATGTTAATGCATTCAAATGGAGCAAAATCATATATTCTCTAGCAAATTTCTCTACCGATCAGATGTGTGTATTTGGGAAAATACTGCTTTATGGCCACTGGATGGAAATGATGGCCACATTTTTTCTTATGATACTCAGAGCCATCTAGTGACCACACTGCAGTATTTTCACCATTCACACATTCGATCTGCAAAGAATATAGCCAAAGAACATTCAATTTTGATCCATGCACACTGAACAAATTTACATGCCATTTTGATAGACAAACAGCTATGTATTTTTTTCTTAAATAAATACATCCCTAAGACATTACTTGTCTTGCACTGATGCTATGTCGACTTTAAACCTAGTTCTGTAGCTATTGATTCAGGGAAATATATGTAATTATGCCTCCAATGACATAAGAAGGGCACGTCATGTTTTCATGGTTATGGGACCCACCAGGTTGAATCGGTCTTAAGAAACTCAATGGGTGGAGAATGCAAAAATATAATTTACCCAGGAATCCCTTCTCCTTCAGGAGAGACAAATGTACAATTACTCAGAGGAAAGAAACTCAAGAATCTGAGACATTCTATGTTCTTCCTGGAGCTTAGCATTCATCTCTCTGTGACTTGTGTCAGATTCCACACGTTGTGCATCTTGCAGCCCCTCCACATATGAGGTTCTGATCTGCATCCAAAGTTTTGGTGAAATTGCAATCCACCACAAACTCACTTTCCACTGTCCCAACAAACTTTCTCCCACATCTAGAAAGTTTCAACTGTTGCCCCATAATAAGCCACATTCTCAGCGCAGCCCAATAACTGATGTCCCGTCCAAGCAAAACACATTTTGTCATAGTTAGGGAATGTTACCTTTAGCACAAGTGTAGTGTTTTTGCCCAGCAGAGAACCTAAATCAACATTATCTATTATTACACAATGTTAAGACCAGGGGGAAAGGTGGGTGGTGGGTTTTTAATAACAACTTGAGCTATTTTCAAAAAAAGAAGCAATTGAGAAGTACAAAACCAGAATGTTTTTTGTCTCGTTTTGCTGCATCAGCGACCTGGACTTTACAGGAAAAACAGGAACATTCTCCCTATGACCCAAATATAGCTCTGCTTTCTCACCGAGTAAGGGCGGCATTGTGGTGAAGATAAAATTAAAATGCCAATGTAAGCCAGGTAATCATTTTCGACTGTCCTATACGGTACCCGAGCAGAATGTATGGAAGTTATTATGGGGAAACTCCACCTTTACACTCCAGAGTATAATAGAATATGTTCCTTTTGAGTTTAAAAATGTTTTTTCTAATTTTTATTACTTAACAGTATTCTAGAAACACAGAAGAGTGACAGCAGAAAAAGACTATATATATTATATATATATATATATATATATATATATATATATATATCTATCTATCTATGTATGCCTTTACACACACATGAACTTTAATGGCATGTCAGTCTTAGTCCGTAGGGTTCAATATTGAGTTGGCCGACCCTTTGCAGCTATAAAAGCTTCAACTCGCCTGGGAAGGCTGTCCACAAGGTTTAGGAGGGTGTCTATGGAAAGGTTTGACCATTCTTCCAGAAGCACATTTGTGAGGTCAGGCACTGTTCTCAGACGACTTGCAGTCTCCGCTCTAATT